TCGATTTGGAGGAATATGCTATCAAATTCTGAACTTTCTCTAAAACTTTTATCAACTAAATAGGTATCCACACACCCCTGAGGATGCCCCCTTACTATCAAGAACCGACGTGGGTTCCGCTTCAGAAACCCATTTAGTAGCCCTGCAAAGACCTGTTTCCTCACAGCCGGGAAAGGACCCCACCATTTACTACTTGTGGAACCCACAACAGGAGTTCCATGTGACAGTATTACTGAACGACGAAAGTGTCCTCCCAGGTGCTGGGCACTCTACGGCCATCACCCCTAGTGGGCAGCGCCCCACACCGCCCTCTGCCAGAGGCGGGGACAGAGGGGGCTCTCGGGGGTCTGAGCCGTGATGGCCAGTGAAGCGCAGGAGAGGGGAGCCTGCCTGTGGCTGGTCCTGGGTCCCTGCCTCTCCTTCTGCACCATCTGCGTCTCCGACAGTTCCTGACATTACAACCCTGATGGCCAATCACTGCCGGAAACATCACTAGCCTAGAATCCCCGGATCAGATCTTACCGACGGGTTCCCCCTGCTGAGGATGGAAGGAGCCAAAGAGCCTGAGGAGAAGGCTGGCGAGCCGCAGGATGTCTGCGTTTAAAGCAGTCTGGGTCTAAGTGGGCTTTGGTTTTTCTCCTTCACTCCCTGGGCCCCAACATTCCCCCCCTCAGCTAATGGGCCCCAGCTGGACGGACGTGGCAGCAGAGACAGGGCCAGGGTCTGACAGGCTCCGGCGGGCAGCCTGGCCGGGAGGGGACACAACTCTTTATTTGGAGGGGCCGCACTGTGCCCCTGGGGGAGTTCAAGCCGTCAGATGTGCCCAAGTGGACTAGTGAAACCTGCCTGGGGTGTCACTGGCCTTGGGGGCGAGCTGCCCTGCGGTGCCCCAGTGTCCGACAGGCCCCGGGCACGTTACGGTGAGTGGAGAGCCCGGGGGGACTCCGTGGGGGCTCCCGGGGCAGTGGGCATGATGCCCAGAGCCAGTCTCTGGTGCCGGCCAAATGGCTTCAAATGCGGGCTCCGCTGTCTAGGTCTTCTCCCCGGTCAGATGGGGTCACGGGGAAGAAAGGAAGAGCAGAGCTGGCCGTCAGCAAGCGACGGACCCACCCGCAAAGTGCTGAAAGCCAACGTCACCCGTACGACAACCCCAGAGGGTGAGCCGGGGCTGCGATTCCTCAGAAGAAAGTCAGAGCTCAGAGGCGTTAAGGGACCTGCCCAAGATTCCAGGGGACTGGAAGCTCTTCCTGACTTCAGTCCTTTCTTCCAAAATCTCTATTCGCTTCCTGGGGCCACCACAACACGTCACCACAAACTTGACAGCTTCAAATAACAGAAGTGTAACCTCTAGCAGTTTTGGAGGCCACAAGTCCAAAGCCGATGTGTCAGCTGGGTTGACCCCCTCTAGAGTCTCTAAAAGAACCCCTTCCATCCCCTCTCCTAGCTTCAGGCCATGCGGGCAACCATGGACATTGCTTAGCTCCAGGCTGCAGAACCCCAGTCCCAGCCTCTAGCTTCATATGCCCTCCTCCCCAAGAGCCTCTGTGTCACAGGACTTGTCATTGGATAAAGAGCCCACCCTGCTCAGGATGGTCTCATCTAGAGATCCTTATCTTAATTACATCTGCAAAGACTCTCATTCCAAATAAGGTCATATTCTGAGGTTCTGGGTGGACACATCTTCTGTGGGGCATAATTCAACCCACTACAGTCCACCCTCTGGTCCCCAAAACGTCACATCCATCTCACGTGCAAAATACTTTCACCCCATCCCAATATCCCAGATTCTCACCCCATTACAGCATTAACTCTAATTAGGTCCAAAATCTCATCTAAATATCATCAGCTCAAAAGTATCATCAGCTAAGTCACCTAACTAGGCATGAGTGATCTGGAATGATCTATTCTGGGGCAAGATGCCTCTCTATCTGTGGACCTGTAATACTGGAAAACAAGTTATCTGTCTTTAAAATACAGGGATAGGGAGAAAATGGAAGGAACTCAGAGGTCACTGGTCCCAAGCAAGTTTGAAACCCAGCAAAACAAATTCCACTGGGTGTCCAGGCCTGCGAATGACCCTCTGTGGCTTGAGCCTTTGCCCTCTGGGCCCATGGAAGCTCCACTGGCCCTGGCCTCCGGGCCTGCCTCTCTAGCCTCTGCCTTTGTGTCCAGAGCTCTGCCCTTGGAGTCATGCCTCCTTTACCTTGAAGGATAACACACGTTGTGGCTGAGTCCTTCTACCTGTTACTTCCTGCATGTACAATCCCAGAAGTCCAATTGCTTTTTTTTTTTTTAAATTTTGTCGGGTCTCTGTCCCTTTACATCCTGGTTGGCAGTGTTTTTGATGATATTAACAGCCTCAAAAACCTATGGGTCTCTCATGTATGTGAAGGGGATCTATGCCATTCAGCCAGAGGGTTCTCCACAGATCCTTCCTGGAGAAGCCCAGCTCGTTCCTGGCTTCTGCTAGATAATTGATGGCACCCGTGAGACACACACCCAAGCTCTTCAGCAAAGGCTGTCCAGCCTCACCCGTGGCCTTGCTCCAGGGCACGCACTCTCAGAAGTGAATCTCCTGCTTTCAGCGTCCTTCGGGATCTGCACGAGCTAAGAATTTCCCACGCCAGCAGGAGCTGGTTCCCTTGCGAATCACAGCTCCTTCCTCAATTCACTCCTCTCCTCTCACATTTTATCATAAGCAGCAAAGGAGAAACCAGGCTGCACCTTCCACACTTTGCCTAGAGAACCCCTCGGCCAAATCCAAGTTCATTGCTACAAGTTCTGCTTCTCCCGACTCTATTGCTTGCACAGCAATAGATACCAAGAGGGTTGGAAAGTAGGCTGGGGGAGAACGGCCGCCCCAAAGCAAGAGGACAATGAATTTTATATTTGCCGAGCGACCTCCGTGTGCCCCAGCACCACAGGTCAGCACCTGGGACTCCGAGAGACAAGTTCATCTTTATAAGTACGAAAACAGTAGCCAAAGCTCTCAGAAGCCCCCACGCGCACCCGAGAGCTTAAGGTGGCCACTGGCCCTGCCTCCGCCTCCTCCGGGCCCTGGGCCCCAGCGCCGCGGCCACTGACTGACCCGGTCATCAGACGCCTCTCCCTCCCTCCAGAGCCTCCAGCACCCAAGTCTGCCCTCTTCTGCTCCTCGCCCCCTCCCAGCTGCTCGCCCAGGGCAGAGGGGGACCGGGGCCAGGGGGCCCCGAGGGTCTGCCCCAGCTGGGAATTAAAACACAGCCACTAGTGTAAGCTTAGTTGTGTTCAATGTAAGTCGAGTTTGTTTTCTTAATTCTGTGCTTTGTTTTTTAAGATTTGCACTTTTAGTGCTTTTGGTGCAACATGGATTTGAGCTGACTAGTCTTTCTCTCCAGGACTGACGGTCTTCACGCGAGGCTCCACGACAGCCAGTGGAGGAGGGGATCACGCCTCACAGTGTCAGGGGACCCTCGCCCTCCAACTCCTGCTGCCGCCCCAGGCAGCCCTCAGGTTGGCCCACCCTGGTCACGAGACTCTTCCCTACGACCCCCGGCTCTGCAGGAGGAATGGGTGGAGGGGAGAGACCTCAAGCTGACGTTTCCGTCACCTGCGGAGGCACTGGTCACTCCTCTCACTCCTGAGATGCCCCTCTCCTGCCTCAGGCTGCCCTGCCCGGAAACGGCCGGGGCCAGGCACAGGGTCAGCAGTGCTCCGGCCTTCCCCTCGCTCAGGGCAGGCCCTGCAGGCACGGACCTCCCCCCAGGGTGACGGTGAGTTTCATGTGCCCACTTGGCTGGACCATGCGGCCCAGATATTTGCCGAAAGCACTATTCTGATTTCTGTGAAGGTGTTTTCTGGATGAGACTAACATTTAGATGAGTAGACCTGGAGTACAGCAGATGACACTCCATGAAGACGGTGGACAAGGCCTGAACAGGAAAAGACTGTCCTCCCAGGAGGAAGAGGAAATTCTGCAGCCAACAGCCTTCGGGTGTGAATTGCGACTCTGCCCTGGGTCTCCAGGCCGCTGGCCTCACAATCACACCAGCCAGTTCCTTAAAATCGCTCCTTTGTACACACACACGCACACACACACACACACCCTGTCAGTTCTGTTTCTCTGGAGGTCGGTGACTAATACACCCAGTGAGCCAGACAACCACACAGCCCGTCTCCTCACAGGCGCCCGGACTCCACGCACCTGGGCTGTGAGCACCTCCAGTGGCCGGCACCGTCCCTGGCCTCGGACAGAGGCCGAGAGCAAGCCTCCACTCCCCTGCACTGTAGCCTCCTCTGAGGACCAGGGACCTTCCCTGGACGCCAGAATTCCCGGGAGCTTTCCGAGTTCTAGCCAGCCCTTGTTCCCCACCCTGGATTCCCCTTGAAGGAGAAGGGCGGTTAGGGAGCTGTAAGTTTTTCTTTTCCAGTAAGCCAAGCCCACTGAAGGGAAGTATCCAGGCCACTGGACACCTTTTACATCAGAGCCAGGCCAGAAGTTACCAGGAGTCGGGGGTGACGGGGAGGCCCCAGCTGCCACCCTTCTCACAGGTCTTCCACAGATGACGTGGCAGCTGCCAGTGTCACTAGGAATGTGACACTCATCTGGGTGGTGTCCAGACTGTACGGCTCTGAGCAACACAAGGTTCTAATTGTGTTTAATTTGAAATCCTTGTGGTTAAGCAAAAGGGACCCAGAAATGAGTCCACACGTACTTGCCACCCTGACCTGGGGGGTTTGTAGGAAGGGGGAGGGGTTCCACCCCGCGCCCTCACTCCTGGGCCGCATGCGCCTGAGCCCACACACCCCCTGGGGGCTCCATTTCTTCATAAAGAATGCCTGCTTGAGAGTCTCCCAACGACCTGCTGCTGCTCCGGGAATCGGGGCGAGCAGGAGTTCCAGCGCGGGGGCAGGGCAGGAGAGAAGGAGGAGCAGGCCCCGCAGCTGGAGAGGCACAGGGACTGTCCCCCCCCCTTCCCGCTAGAGGGAGGGGCCCAGAGGAAGGGCAAGGCAGGACTGACCTTGAGGGTGGGGATCTCCACACTGTCCCCGAGGCTGACGGAGCCTGAGAGGATGGTCCCTGTCATCACAGTGCCTTGGCCTTTGATGGAGAAGCAGTGGTCCACAGACATGAGGAACGGTCCCGAGGGGTCTCTCCTTGGGATGGAAATCTGGGACGTCAGGAGCTAGAAAAGAGATGCTGGTGCCACACCCTGTCGGGAGAGGAGCTGGATGGGGCAGCGCAGAGAAGAGCAGGGGGTGTGACCAGGGCTCGGGCAAGCTGGCCCCGGAGCTCCGAGCGGACCGCCTCCGACTGCACCCCGAGCCTCCGCCAAGGCCCCACTCCCGCTCTCAGCGCAGAGGGAAGGGCCCGTGGAGGACGCTCCACTCCCGCTCTCAGCGCAGAGGGAAGGGCCCGTGGAGGACGCTCCTTTACCCTCTCCCACTGGGATGCCCACAGCGGCGTCCCCACGGGCGGGGCTCCAGGCCCGCACACAGCCGCGGAGGCAGCCCACCGAGGGCACCCGTGGGCACATCGCTCCCCAGCCTCACGTGCCCGCTCACACTGGGCATCGGCCACCGGCCAGCCCCGGCAGCTCGCCAGCCAGTGCGGCCTCCCCCTCCCCCCGGTGACGCTGCCTCTAGAAAGGCTCTTGCGCTGGCTGTGTCGCCAGGTAACATGCAGTTGGGATCGTCTGTCTGTCCACGCCCCCACCAGGCCGTGAGCACCCCAAGCAGCCCCCCGGCAGCTGCATCGGGGTGCCTGAAGGGAACCTGAAGGACATCCCCAGGGCGGCAGCCTCTGTCTGGCAGGGCAGCGGTGAAGGCCCCTTCCCCAAGCCCCGGTGGGGACAGAGGGACTGGCCCTCCGCGGTGGGTCTGCTTTTCCTGTTCTGCACGCTCTCCCGCGTGCTTCCGCCTCAGCCAGCCCACTGCCCTTGTGCTCCGCAGTGCTGTCGGAGCTGATTACCAAGAAACAAATGGAAATCAAGGCCACGTCAGTCCTCTTGCTTCTTTCTGATTGCGTTAGGGAAGAGACTGTCAGGAAAGTATTTGGTAGTGAATGTCCCACACTCTTAGCCTCATGATAACTCCTCTTGTGGAAAAGGCTGGAGTCGCAAGGCAGGCCTGGCCTGAGGTGTGCGCAGAGGCTGCTCAAAGGGACACACGAACGACGTCAACAGCCGGCATTTCTGTGGATTTTGCTTTAACAGAAACAACTGTCCCAGGCTCCTAGACCAGTGCTGTCTGGAGCTGATGAAAAAGAACAAAAGCTTCACCCAGAAAATGTTTGTTTTGCTAAGTTAGCAAGGTCAGCACCGTGTAATCACAGAAACAGCAGCCGTGCTCTGCGGACCCAGGGCAGGTGGACCCCAACACAATCAACCTGGATCTGAATCCCAGCTCCACCTCATGCTTACTGTGAGACACCGGGCAAGTCACTTAACATCTCTGAGTCTCAGGCTCTTTCTTAGCAAAATGCGGATAAATACCTTAAACCTCTCAAGTCTTGTTAACAATCATGTAATCATGGACGTTAATAATCACATACGAAAAGAACTCAGGGTGGTGCCTGGTACGTGATAACCAACCTCACCGTCAGAGTAAGCTCTGACACGGCACCATTCCAGCATGTGACACGCGTGAACACGAACTCCACACGCCAAGTGGTGGTACCATCTCCCTGACTTTATAAGTGACGGAACCGAGGCCAGAGAGAGCAGGTCTAGCGCGGAAGGTCACAGAGATGTGGTGAGGCCAGTGCTCTGATGCGCCGTCCAGGGCCAGGGTCAAAACACCTCACCCCCGCAGCCTCTGAGCTGCCCGGGGGCTCAGCAGAGCGACTCCACTCTCGCCCTGCCCGCTGGGTGCCCCGGGCCCTCCCAATGGCTGGGCTCCGCCTCTGTCCGTGATCCCCAAGCCTGGCGGAAGGGACGAGGATGGAAGCCACGCTGGACCCGCCTGGGAGGGGCCCACTGGAGGGGCTGGCACAGCCCTAGGTGCTGGAATGGGTGACGCAGCCCCAGAGCCCCAGTCTGGCGGGAGCTGCCTCGTGGACGAGTTTGACGGGGAAAGGAAGAGGAGGCTCACGAGGACGTGGACAGCTCTGCAGGGCCGGGGCTGCCCACTGGACGCCTGCAGCTCTGCTCTGACTGAACTCCGTGAGGAAGGCGAGGGAGGTGGCGCCGAGGGGTCAGTGTGGAGAGTCCCCTCGCTGGGCCCCCCCGGAGTGAGCCGGAGCCCCGATGCGGATCAAGCTGGCGGTACCTCAATGAGCTCTGGGATGCCCTGTGGAGCTTCCGTTTCAGGGGCGTCCGGTCCCCCAGGCCTGGCTGCCACGGGTATGATGGGTGCACCTCGGAACCTGGAACAGAAAGACAAGTCCCACCACGGTCACCGACGAGCACGATGGGAGGTCTCTGCTCTCACCCCGTCGAAGGCGCCGAGGGGGGCGGCGTAGCTGTGCTCCCACCTGGCAGACCAGGGCGTGGACGCCCGAAGGGAACACCTCGTGTTGAACAAAAGAAGTTAGAAGGGGGCTCCTAGGTGTAGCCGCTACTCCAAACCCTCCCTGAGGAGAAGCGGTGAAGCCTAGGCCCCAGGCCCCTGAATAAAGATGCCCTTGGGGAGGACCATGGGGCACAGCCCGGCCTCCTGCAGAGACTCGGGAAGCACAGGTACGGAGAAGTCCCTGCCAGACCTGCCCGGAGGCCCCTCCACAGCCTCCCGGCCTCCTGGAGAGCCTGCCGCTTGAAGAAAAGCCTCTAACTATGAGTATACCTTTACCTCTTCCACTGGAGAGCAAAAAAACAAAAAACAGAAAAGAGAAAATATACAGCCCATGATCCCATCACTGTCGTGTGCTTTCTTCCAACCTCGGTTCCTCCGTGCACTGCCAAGGAGTTATTTTTTTCATATTTTGGTTACAATATTCATACAATTTCATATCCTTCTAGTTTATTTACCATTATATCGGAAAGAATTTTCTATTGAAAAATAACAACAGCGGTGATAATAAGAAGACTCACTTGACCAAGCCAAGAACACGACCTGGACGCTTCCATTGAAACCCCACAAAACCACCATGGAACTGGCACCGTTTTACAGATGAGAAAGTGAGGCTTAGAGAGGTGAGCCAACCTCCACCCCATCCGACTCCAGAACCAGGGCTCACAACCACCACGTTACACTCCTGCCTCCCCGCCCCCCGGCCACCTCCTCTTTCATTCTTAACAGCTGCGTAACAGTGCAACTCAGAATTCACAAGCTTTCCCCCCATGTGACTCATTTAGAACATCCCAATTGTTCACCATTGTGATAAATATGTTGGTGGATATGACTTTTCCTTTTTTTTCTTTTCTTGGCCTTGATTTGGGATAAATTCATGAGGTACAGGTCAAAGACTCAACAAACTGAAAAATCAGCAAAATGTGGAGTGAGGACATTCGAAAAGGCTCTTCTCCATAAGGCAATAAGAACACTGGGAAAAATGATCAGAAACAACCTTTTCAGAACTCTGCAAATTAACCAAAGCCTTGCAGCAATCTATGGAATGTTTAGTCAAGGAAAACAGCTGAATCTCAGTAAGAATAAGGGAACTTGGTGGCATTTTTACTCGCTTTATTCCGATCCACCCCTCCCCAGCTCCGCAGTAGCCTTAATAACTGGAGTCTGTATTCAGAGTGGAAACAGCAGCTTGACAGCCACTGAAAGCGGCAGAATGTGTCTGAGCTCCATCAAAGCCCCTTTCCCAGAGAAATGTCATTTTTTTTTCCTCTCTGGCCTTTCCCTGGAAGAGCCCACCCTTAGACTGAAGCGGGGGCTCAGGCCTCGGAGTCAGTGAGCCAGGACCCGCCCTGAGCCAAGGCCCGTCCCACGCGCACGTCTCTGCCTGCCCTCTGAGCCCCAGGCCCAGGGCCGCAGAAGGGGAAAAGCGTGCGCTGAGAATTCCAGCGATTAACCACAAAGCTTTCGGAAATTCAATTATTGTTTATCCAAACCCTTTTGGGCAACGTATTGTAACAAAACATAAACGCGTTTCGGGCTGGGTGTCTGGCCCTTTCCCAGGCTCCAGAGAAGCTGGCCTTGTTGGTTTCCTGAGCACGCCACACAATGGGGCATCCTGGCTGCTGGCAGCCCCCGGGGGACAAGAGGCCCCTCCTGCCTGGGTTCCAGACCTAGGCTGCTGTCTGGGCTCTAGGAACACAAGGGGCTCCAGCCAG